ATATATATACATATATACACTCTCTAGCTTTAGAGTCATTGTCATGTCTATTTTTTCTGCCGCTTTATCAGTGTGATCCGGTCTTCAGAGATTGTTTTATCTTACTGAATGCAAGTGCACAAAAAGGCTGAGGGCGCCAGAATCTGAAGCACCAGTCAGCGAAGCTTAAAAAACAGCATTATTTGAGATTATGGATACATGATTTTTTACTCTCTTTTTAGAGATCACCAATACTTTGACTTTTTAAAAAAAAGACAACTATGGCCAAATGTTTGTTTTGGCTTTAGTTCTCTTTTGGGTCACAGGATTACATTTACTGATGTCCTCTTGTGAGCCAAACGCAGCATATAGCAGTCTATTGCCCGCTATATGAGGACAGTGCAGAGCTGCGACGTAGGTGGAAAAGATCCACCCAGCTACCTGATTGATAGCTGGCCCTGCCTTTCTAGAGCCAGTGCCAGCTGAGCCTGCTCCTTCCCCTGTCTGTCCCTCCAATGAGCGCTGGAGGAACAGAGAGTGGGTGTGAAGAATCCCTGCAGTGAGAAGCTGTGAGCTGAGCGATCATCGGTTTGTGATCACTCAGCTCCCGAACTATGAGCCAGCGTGTATCAGCTGCAGTGTTGCATGCCAGCTCAAACTATTGGGAAGAGTACATTTTACTCCCTTGTTAGTTCTCTTTTAACCACTAAAGGCGGGTTCATGTATATACACGTCCTCCCCCTAAAGCGGTTATACCAAGAACACAGCCGCAGCCGTGTTCTTGGTACCGTTTTGGCTATTCAGGTACAATCGATCCATGTGTGCCCCCCCTCTGCCGCTGGCTACCCCGGGCTCCGCTTTCCCCATGTGGGCCATTTCTAACCACTGATCTCTCCTTCGATCAGTGGACCCGGAAGTGATGTGTATTACATGACTTCCGATGTCACTGTTTACATTCTCCGGCTTCTGGAGCCAAAAGAAGAACCTGGTGAAGCAGATTGTTGCTTCATTAGCTTCTTTGGGGTCCTTAGGTGACATTAGGGGTCTGAAAGACCCCTGATGTCTCCATAAAGAGGGCCTGCCACATCATATTTGCTATTTCGTAGGGGGCTTGTTAGCCACCTATGTGATAGCAATAAAGTTAAGTATAAAATAAATTAAAGTATCATATAAAAAAATTTACAAATTCAAAAGTTTTTTTTGAAAGTCCCCTGTCCCCTGTCCCCATGTACACCCACATACAAACGCAAACACGCGTCGGGTGTGCCTATGTGCAAATACAAAAATAGCGCCCCGCATGTTACATATCGCCACGATCGTCAAAGTGAGTTAAAATGTCACCTGTGGGAAATATTGGGTATTGTAGTTTTTTGCCGTTTCATGGGTGCATGCAATTTTAAGGCTTGACATTTTACCAAAAATTGGGTATTATATTCTGTTTTCTGTGTACTAAATTTTATTTTATCCTAAAAATACTGGTTTGATAAACATTTGCGGAAATACCGTGCAACATACAAAATTGCAACTAGCATTTTTTTTCTTCTACAGTGCCTCTGCTTTCAGAAAATATATAGTTGTTTTGTTTTAATATGTTTTATAGCCACAAATATGCTTTACAGCCACAAATTCTGATTTTTATCATGTGTGCACAAATAGTAAGAAATTGCATCGGACAGCAAGTGGTTACAAATGTTGTTCACTGTATAACTTTCTTATATTGCAAGCAAAAAGCACATTAGCATTCATTATATGTGGTGATAAATAAAATGTATAAGACAGGGGTGGACTAATTAATTTGGAATCTAGGAGTCATCAGGATTTTTTAGGAGCCAGCTCCATTGACAACAACTAGAGGAAACCTCAAATGTTAGGCCCAAGCTGTTATTTTTAAAGAGCATTGGTAACCTGGCTACTGGGATTTGTCCAGCCCTGGAAAAAGAAATATGCAGCATTAACTTGTTTTTATAACAGTACATTATACATGTATTCTTAATATATATTAAAATGATTTGCATTTGGTTATTTCCTGACTTTTGATACCAAAAAAAGGCTTTTGCTGGAAGCCTGTGAAGAGGGAGTATACATTATTTACAGTAATCAATGCTGGTGCCAACATTTCTATGCTGTATCTGTATTTCTCATTTTTATCTTTCTACTTAGTACATATACATCATGACACCTTACCGACTGCTGCAATCTTTCACCTGTGCTTGATCCCTGGCAATCACTCCTACTACTTTTCCACATTCCAGCTAGTCTGTAGAAAACTTTCATTTTGCACTTATTTTTTATTCTTGCTTAGGCCTCCTGGTTAATCCCTTGTGAATGTCTGCAGTGGTGATGTTATGATTATCTTCATGTTTTATAATCTTATTAATAAACTGTCTAGAGATTTGGAACTCTCCTTAATGCGGAATCACTAAATTTTCTCCATTTCCAGCTATCTTGTGTATATGTAACAGCTACACAGTTCTTGATTGTTTAAACAGCCACCAACAAGCAACACTACCCGAGAAGGGCTTAAAATAGGGATCTTATTGTTCCTACTAAAGCCCAACTGCAGTCAAATCTTTTTTTTTATGGATTGAGGAAGGATTAGAAACTGACTTTTTTTTTTTAATGCTGCTTGTGCCCCCCACTGGGTAGATTTTCTGTCCCAGTAAGAGTGTTTCAGTTTGTCATAAACGGGTGACAGGAAGTAGGGGAAAATCTCGCCAATAGGGGCACAAGCAGCATTAAAAAAAAGATCAAAGTTTTCTAACCCTTGTTATAAGTTTTAGCTGCAGGAAAGGCAGAGACCAAACAAGAAGTGAGTAAAAATTCCCTTTTGTACAGTTGTCACCGCAACAGGTGCCCCCATTGGAAGATTTCCCGTCTGGTTGTTTGATCACTGTACCATTTTTGATTTCCCTTTACATAGAGTGTAAACTTCAGTAGGGACACAAATATCAATAAAAACCTGACATAGGTTCTAACTGTTCTCTATTCTGTGCAAAACCAAACAAAAATAGGTTTTGCTATAGATACACTTTAATAAGCTCCCCTTACCTGCTGGCTTCCTCGGTTTTCCCAGTTTTAAGTATCTCATATATACCGTGTTTCCCCAAAAATAAGACCTACCCCGAAAGTAAGACCTAGTTCGGCTTTTACGGTACATAGAAAGCGCCAGCTGAAAACTACATTTCTCAGCAGGCAGCGGCATGGCCAGTGGGGTCGGAGTGAGGTCAGGGGAGGTGAGGGAACTTCTGACTGGTCCGTGCGACGAGGTGGCTCCCTGGACGGCATCAAAGAGGAGAGCTCTAGGACAGCTGCAGCCTTCAGGTACTGTGTGATACAGTACATTCCATATATCTGCTCTGTGTGACACCTCTGTGCCTCAGCCTCCACAGCATATTTTATCTCTATTATTTAAATTATGGTAGAAAAAAAGTATGTGGAGGGGTGGCTCAATGGGGGGAAAAAAATAAGACATGCCCCGAAAATAAGACCTAGTGTGTTTTTTGGGGGGGAAAAAATATAAGACAGTGTCTTATTTTCGGGGAAACACGGTATATGTAACTACGGCAGTGTTCCTGACTGTTGGGGGTATTTATACAACCACCAACAATTACCTCACCACCTAGAGATCCAGTGGTTGTGAGTGGTCGTACTGTGACTATACTGCATTCTCTGAATTCTGTATGTGTTGTGAATGGTAACACAATGAGGAATATTAATTCTTGAAAGAACTTCTGAGCAAATCAATTCTATTTTAATAACGTTTGCTTTGTGTTTTGATGTTTCCATTTTCTCCAGTTGCAGCTATCTTGTGTATATGTAACATATTTATTCCATAAAAATTGTTGGCTTGGATCTATATTTTTCAGGAGGCAGGGTTGTGAGCAATATTGAAGGCATGGAAATAATACTTAAAACTGGCTGTGCAGGTGTCCAGTGGTCATTGAACATCTTGAACCATCCAAGACTGACTGAGGAAACTAGCAGTACTACAAATTTGTGTTTTCCTTTTTTCCTTTATGACCATAATCCCTGAGATAATTTGTAGTCACAAGATGGCCGTAGATATGTCGAAATATATGAAATAATGTTTCTAACTGTACTCGCGGGTCAATAAATTTGAAATCTGTTTCTAAAGGGAAGATTCCTGCTGGTCATAATGTGTGCCTTTTCTTAGCTGGATATGTTTTACTGTATATATAGAATTTTAGCCCAGAGCAAAGAACAGCTGCAATTAATTTGGCACAATAAAGGGGCATTCTTTGACCAGCTGTGTGCGAGGGAAGAGACTCAGCCACATAAGGACCTGATAACTGCCAAGAGATGTAGGAGGAAAGATGTACAGTATATCCCTGACTAGGAGACATTCTTTCTGCTTGTGAATTTTTCAATACATTAAAATCTTTTGTAATATTAATTGGTGCCTAATATAAGAAATGTTACTAAAGTTGTCCTTTATATACACAATGTGGTCATCAGCTTGTGAACACATGACCACCATCACATCTACTACTATATGACCAAAGGTATGTGGACAGCCCTTCAAATCATTAGGTTCTGGTGTTTTAATTGAAAGGTCCTGCTAATGCTACAGTATACAAATACATTTTGGACAATTGTGTGCTTCCAGTCTTGTGGGAACAGCCTAATGACCCTTTTCTGTTACAGCACGCCTATGTCTGTGAACCCATTAGTCCAAAAAACACAAAAAAGGTCACAAGCACTCCAGCATGCAGAAAAGTCAATGTTTATTGACTGCAAAGGTGTCACATCATCAGAGCGACGTTTCGGAACAGCAAAGTCCCTTCCTCAGGCAAAACAGATAATGATTATTATTTGTATTTTTTGGACTTATTTTGCAGAGTTTGGTGTGGTCTGCACAGAACCCTGACCTCAACTCTATTAAACACCTTTGGGATTGTAGCGTTGATAGTGAGCCAGGTCTTGTCCAGCATCAGTACCTGACCTCCCAAATGCCCTTTTGACTGAATAGGCACAAGTTTCAGACATGTTCCAAATTGTTGTGGAAAGCCTACCTAGAAAAGTGGAGGCTGTTAAAGTCACAAGGAGGGGTGAGGGGCAGGATTACACCTCCATATTAATGTTCATGTTTTGTTATGACCTACAGTATAAAGACACTATAAGGCTGTATATAGTATAATGGACAAAGCTGAAGAACAAAGTGCCATACCTCATAACAGTCATATTTCTATTTAACAGAGTGGGATTAATGAAAAGGAAGTTTCAGCTGATTGCTGCACTTTGCCATTGTATTTACTTTCTTTCTTTCTTTGTATCTTGATTGATTTAGAATGACCAACATGATGACATGAACTTGCATGACATGGATATTTGCTTAGTTACTTGTTGTGACCTAGAATTTAAGGCTTTTTTATGTTATTTATTTATTTATTTCTTAGTGCTTTGTTTAGCTTGAGAAAGATGCACCGTGAGTGTTTATCAGCATCAACACATAACTTTTCAGATGTAAATTTTGGTTATTTGATAATTTAACAGAGTGTGCTTTCAGATTCTTATTCTAGCTGGTTAATTGCATTTATATATTGCAGAGACTTCCAGCAATCATCGCACCTTCCAGTCACTGGAGACCTGGATGAAGCCACACTACACCAGATGCACTTACCACGGTGTGGAATGAAAGATAATAGCGAAACAAAACGGCTGTTTAATAGACCACTTTATGTGAACCAGCGCAGGAAACGCTATGCAACAAAAAGTGAGTTATTACAAATATAACAAAAAGGATGATTGTATGGAACCTTCACATACATTCTGCTGCACTAAGCAATTGTTAGATAATATATTTGCTATTGTAAGCAAATGGAATGGGAGATATAATTTTATATATAATATATTAGGTAATCATTATTTGTAGTAAGTGGTTTAGCATTTGTATAGTTATGTGTACGAGTTTGTTTTACTTGTGCTTTAGCTCATAGTGTAAAAGTAGATGCTAAAAAAGATTCTCCCTGTTGTAGAAAAATAAACAGTTGCTCTGTGTAGCAATAACGAGTAATAATCCATAGTCTAGCATCTAAAAGTCCAGTTAAAATAATGTTCACTTAGTGTCAGTTCGATATATCTGGTGCATAGAAAATCTGTAATCACGCCTGCCAATACTTGTAAGTGATCATTAGGAAAACTGCTGTTATACCAAGATTTTTGCAACAGTTGAGATTTTTTTGTATCATTCTGAACCCTTATGGGAAGCTAATGGGGATCTTTACTCTTGCACCAAGAGGAAAAAAGAGCCTCTGTTTCAACACCCTACATGCCACTAACAATGTGGAGTTAAAGCTGGTGGATGAGCCCAGTGTAATTGTCACTATTATTAGTATTGATTGAAGTTCAGTACTGATGTTATGCTTAAGGGTTTCCAAATAGCCAATTTAATGGCGGACTGTATTGGAAACCATATGCTGTGCAATTTTAGGACAAACGTATTCTCATTTCATAGCCAAAGCACAATTAATGTTACCACCAATTAAATACCATTGCCTTCTGATACACAAGTCTCTACCGCCAATAAAGTATCTACTACTTGCCATACACCAGCCCCTGCCCCCAATTAACTACAGCTGCCTTGTCATACACAAACCCTTACTCCCAATTAAGAACAACTGCCTTGTAATAGCTAATCCCCTTTTCCCAATTGCTTTGTCATACGCAAGTCCTTACCACTAATTTTGTACCATTATTCTGTCATACACGAGCACCTGCTGCCAATAATTACCATTGCCTTGCCATGCACAAGATCCAATCCCAAAAGACATGACCATGCCTTGTCCCATGCAACCCACATAAGTGCCTATATGAGATACCCAAACTTCTATACCCAGTTAAGCACTTATCCCATGTCATACACAAGCTTCTACCCCCAGTTAATTACCATTGCCTTGTCATGTACAAGCTCACACTATCAGTTAAGTATCACTGCCTTGTCATTCACAAGCCTCTAAAGTACACCTGTCATGAAGGAATCATGGAGGCTGCCATTGATCACCATTCTTTCTGAAAATGATACATATGAGGGATTCTGGCACTTTGCTTACACTCATTTTGAACATGAATGTTTTAGGTATGTGACTCAAAACAACTAATGTCAGGCAACTAGCATTTATAGAAGAAGGCCAGCAATGACAGCCATTCTAATTCTTGACAATAATGACAGAGTCACTGTACGTACTTCTTATCAAATACAAGCTGCTAGCACAAGTTAGGTACCATCACCTTTTCATACCTAAGAACCTACCCCCAATTTAAGTACTATTCCCTTGTCGTACACAAGTACGCAGTGCCAGTTAAGTGTCACTTTATCATCTACAAGCCCCTATTATCAATTAAGTAGCATCACATTGTCATATGAAAAGACCCCACACCCTATTAACAAACACTTCCTTTCATGCAAAAATCCCTACCCAGTAAAGTATGTATGCCTTATGCTTTGCCAAACACAAGCTTCTACCCCTCATTAAGTAACCTAAACTAGCCATATTCAATGTGAAAAGGGGCTTCAAAAAGTGCTCTGACAAACGATGCTTTCAGTCTCCATATTCTGTCTTGTAAAAATGTGTAACAATGTGTCTTTTTGCAATGGGGCTGAAGTCTGGAGCTGCATATTTTCAAACCAGAAACCACAAATTGAGACACTACCCTACTGCAGTTCTATGTGGCCATTGTCCTTGGAGCAGTTCTGATAGAAAAGACCTTCATGGACTAGATCAAAAAAAAGCTCCACATTGCCATTTTCAGTGACCTTTTCGCCAGTTTCAACAATTCTTCATTTTTCCGTTTAGCTACTGTGTCCATGTAAAATGAGAAGCATAAAATCCAAAATTCAGACATTGTGACATCCTGACCTCCCCAGCCAAGTTTACACCACATTCCAGTAAGCTGAATAACACAGAGCTAATTAATTCACCAGTCTGCTCCAGAACATAAGAGCCTACACAAAGTTTCCTCCAATGAGTTATCCTTAAAATGTTTTTATAGATTCAGAATTGGTGTATGGCTATAGTAACTCATGGCAACCATGTTTCTTAATAAACTGACCTCCGAGCACCAGCATTTACTTTCACATACACTGTTAATTTCACTATAGGGTCAATTCACTAAGCTATACTGTGTAAGTTATTATTACTTTATTTATCCTTTAGTAGCAATGTGCACTCCTCTTTTCTCTGGGTCATGGGTGGTGACCACGGTAGCTTTCCCTGATTATATATAAATGAGCCTAAGATAGATTTAGGCTGTGATGCATACAGAGCACAGCCCAAAGTAGATTGTATCTCATTGTGAAGAAGAACAGAGGTGTTCTGTTATTGTGTGTTATGCGATGAATCCCATGTTTTTGTAGGTGTCAGTGTCTCTTTTATCAAGCAGTTAGGGTACACTCAATTAGGCACCCATTCATTTTAAACAGGCTGTCAACTCACCTCAATGGACACAAAAGTAGGAGCTGCACGATTTTTTAAAACACAAAGCACTGCAATTAGCATCTGTGTGTTCTGGTGTATTATAGCACAGTTGCAGTACGGCACACTATGGATGTGGATTGTGGTGTAATTGACAATAAATGGCAACGCACTGCAGCACACATACATGTGTTATGCACGTGGTGGAGTGAACAAGACCTCAGTCTCGTTTTACTTATCTACCTGTCATAGAAATGTGCAAGACATATTATCTACTTGGCAACACCCCAACATTCTTCTGCATTATAATTCCAGTTTTATTGTGGCAATAATTCACTAACTGGCAAACCAGATTTTCTATGGTATGCCAAATTCTTACTTATTCTCTTAAATGCTCTACAACACTTTGAGTTATGATAATAAGAAAGCGTTGGCATATTAAAGTTGAAGTTCACAATTTTTAAAATTTAGATACAGCACCAAACACATTAGTTAAGTGCAAAGGTTTGTGTCCCATCTCCTTCTTGTAAAAATCCTCCATTTCATGGCATCTTCATAGCCACCGAATATTGCCCTAAGCAACTATCTCCCAGTGCTGTATGGGTTAACAGCAGCTGCTGCTGCTAGCATGAAGAGTTACACCACTCACCCAACCCTTCATGCCCTCTCCACCATTCAGAGAACTTGTACTACGTTTCTCCCACAATGTATCATGTGCTGTGACTGGGCATTGGAGACCCTGTCATTCATCCACTCTTCCTCCATTCACAGAACACAATGCATTGTGGGAGAATAGTAGAAAACAAGTTCTTTGAATGGAGGAGAGGGCATGAAGGGGCGGGCGAGCCACACAACTCTTGACACTAGCAGCGTCTACTGTTAACCCATACGGCACCGGAAGATTGCCGCTCAGGGCAAAATCCAGTGGCTATGAAGGCGGCATGAAGGGAGGATCTTCACAAGTAGCATCAGCCTGCAGGAATTGGGAAACACACCTTCACATGTAACTAATGTGTTTTGTGCTGCATTCCCCCCCAAAAATAAAATGACTAAACTTCAGCTTTAAGACAGAAGTAAAATCAATAAAATAAATAATGGCTGGGAGGTAGGAATTTTTGACAGAATGGACATGCAAATTCTCTTTTGGCAAAAAATTCTATCTCTCTCCTCTGGTGATATTTTTGTCTGTGTACACTGTATGCGCATGCACTGTGCAGTATAGACACTCAACCCATTCATGGCATCACTAAGATGCCGTGAATGGGTTGAGTACCAGAGAGGATGTAATTCTTGTGCACAAATGCAAGTTATATCATCACTGGCCACCCAATGGCCAAAGGGGACTTCCGTGAAACTGAAATTATTGTTGGTGAAGGCAGCAGTGGGGGACAGCGCTGACGACCGAAGATGGATCCGACAGTGCTGGAGAAGGGCACATATGTAAGGAACATTTACAAAATGTTTTACTTCCACTTTAACATTTGTCATCTGGGCAGCTGGAAGTAATGAAGGACAATCTAAAGACAGAAATCCTATAGCTCTGTAGTTTGTAAAATGAAACAGATTGGCTTTAAACTGTTCCATCGACAGTTCACGGCTTTAAAAAGATTGAGGTGTTGTTGCGGGGTGATTCTAAGTGACCTAAGGATCAAATGTTAAAGCATTGATAATTAAAGGCCAGTTCCAAGTGGTGGTTTCCTATCTGTCATGCAGATGTAGCCCAACATTCAGATGGTGACAACATGTTGTAGCACACTGGGCATGAACAATGCTGCTGCCTGGGGCTATAAAAAACAATGAACAATTAAAACTGGATGGGCGAAGTGACAGTGTCTCTTTATGTAACATATGCTAGCAAAGTATTGAAATGTATCATGCTTCAGGCAAAAGAGTGGAGCAAAGAGTGTTGATCTAAACATTGAACTTATTAGAACATAATTACGTTCATGGAAAGTGTTTCTCATTTCTCTATTCAATCCCTGCTTCATTAGTCATTGCCCTAAAGGTCCACTACACAGACGGGGGGAGGGAGAGAATTTACTAAAACTAAATAATCTGTGTAGTAACCAATCAGTTTCTATGTTCAGCGTGTTAAGTTAAAGGGTTATTAAACCCTCCGGTGTTTTTGCATATATCTACTGCTGGTAAGCAGTAGATATATGCAAAAAGTGTTAAAAAAAAACATTTTCAGTCGGGAGACGAGGAGAGACACAAGGTAAATATATGGACGGCGTGCACCCGCATGCAGGCACCGTGGGACAATAAAAAATAACTCCAGGCAAAGGTGTCCTTAACCCGTGCA